CTTGTCGGCCAACTCTCTTTTGCTGCTCGGCTCGAAGGCTTGGACAGGGTCCAACCTACATGGCACGTCTTGCCAGCTACTTATTTGCGGAAGATAGCGGCCTCGCCGCCCGGTCCTCTCTCTCAGATCGCTGGCGTGAAGTGCTCGGGGGTCAACAAGCCGCCAAGGAGGTAGGCGTCGTCGGTGCGGACTCTGCTGATAGCGACGTAGCCAGCGGCCCGCATATGCTTGACATCGAGCCAGACTGTCACGTGGGGCAGCTCCGCGCCTTGAAGCTTGTGGATCGTGCACGCGTACCCGGCCCGGATCGGGTAGGCCGTAACCGTCCCACACTCCTCGACATACTCCGTGATGGGATAAACAGCCAAGTGCCTTCCAGTTTCCGTGAGCACGCGGAGGCAACCGGAGGGCTGATGGAAGGATTGCACGACCGCGGCCATGCCGTTGACGAAGTCGCCGGGCTTGTCCAGGTTCCTGGTCAAGTGCACCTTGAGGCCTGCAAACAACGCGAGAGGCTGCGGCAGCGGCGGACGATCAGATCTGAGCTTACCGTCGAGCAAGTAGTTTGCGATGTTGGCTTCCCAATCTGCCTCCACGGTCCCCAGAGATTTCTTGCCGCGGTCGGAGAAGAGGACTTGCGTGCTGAGCCGATTGACAAGCGCTGCAGCTCGACGAGTGCAAGTGGCCACCACGGTGTCTGGGTGCTCGCGGTGAAGACGGAGCATGTCGTAGGCTTCGGGCTCGTTCTTCTGGCTCCACGCCTTGTGCCCGCGGCAGATGTCACGCAGCTGCTGTTCCGTGGGTTGATTCAGACGCAGCAGCCGGAGCTTTGCATTCAAGGCGGCGTCCTGGCAGCGCCACATTTGCCAAAGCCCGACCTTGTAGACGTGCCGCCACCTGGCGCTGTCTTTGGCATTGGTGGGCTCCACACCGGGGAGCTGATGAAAGTCTCCGATAAAGACCAAGGCAGGCATCCGACTAGCCGCGTCCCAGAGCTTCAGAATGCGGTTGAAGTCGTGCTTGGACAGCTGCGAGACTTCGTCGACGACCACCAAGTCGTAGGTGGCGAGCAAGTCCAGGAGGTGCAGGGCGTCCTGAGAGGACTGCCACAGACCGAAGGCACCGGAGCAGGTGTCGACGTCGCAGTCCGGGAAGCGGCCACGGACCCGTGCGGCCTGCTGGCCGGTGGGCAGGGCATAGAGGACGCGGCCGCCGCACCGCAGCGTCCGCCGCACGCACGCATCCACCGCGGTTGTCTTCCCGGTGCCGGGCGGGCCGAGGCCCGCAATCACAGAACCGTGGGTCCAGGCCTCCAACCGCTTGTCCTCGGCTCGCTCGTCGTCGTCCTCGCCTCGGTGGGCAAGCGAGCGGTCCACGGCCTCGTCGACTTTGCGCTGAAGGTGCCTCTGCGCTGAATTCCATTGCAGCTTCGCCTCGGCATCTTCCTCGCCGGCGTCCTCGTCGTCTAGGAGGCCACCCCTGCGGAGCGCGGCCCGCTCCTCAGCCACAGTCGGAAGCCGCAGGCCTCCGTCGACGCACTGCTCGACCAGGTAGAGGTTTGCCCGCAGCATGGCCAACAAGGTCTGGATCTTCGCGTCACTGAAGGACTGCAACTCTAGGTCCCGCCGCACAGCGTCTTGGTCCGTCCAGTATGCGGGACGACGCCGCCAGGCGTTCGCCAGGAAGAGGTAGGAGGCGGGAACCGCCTCTGCCAGCGTGGGGTCGAGCAGATCCTCATGACGTCGGAAAGGGACATGTAGAGTCATCCATTGCCCAAAGAACTTGTCGTTGGACATGGCCAGCAGATCGGCGGCGATGAGCTTCTCGCCGTTCATGCCGCAAGTTCGCGCGAAGTCGGTCAGCGTTTGCGTCGTTTGCTGCAGGGCCAGAAGCCGATNNGTGGCGAAGTTGCACCCAGCGGGCAATCTTGCCGTCGGCGCCGGACTTGCGCAGCCACTCGAGAAAGGTCATGTCGTCACCACGCCACTGTGACTTTTCGTAGAGCTCAACGAGCTTGTTCTTCTCCGTGCCTGGGATCGGTAGCGGGACGCGCAGAGGCACCATGGTGCCGCTGTACTGACACGGCGGGGCCAAGCGACCTGCGATGTAGAGCCACATCTCTGGCTCGCAGGGATGATACTCGAACAGGACCTTGCGAGCGACGGCGTTGCCAGAGATGTCGTCGCAGAGCCAGTCCTGCGCGAAAGAGTCGCTGAACTTGGCGTTGTAGGTGGCGCAGTACTTCATGCTGTTGGCCCGGCGGTCACAGTGCAGGACGTCCTGGTGACACTTTGTAATCTCCAGGGTCTCCTTGAAGAAAGCGCGATGGCCGGCAGCCTTGTCCGCCGCGGTGTGATGGAGTCGCACGCGCCCCAGCACGTCGTCCCAGCGGCTTTCTTCGAGTTCCACGGGCCAGCCACTGTCGTCGCGCCCATGCGGGCGACCCAGCATGTAACCCTTCAGGGTCGGCTGGTCGTCTGCCGGAACGGTGGCCATCATCTGCTCGGCTAGCCTGGCGCGGCCGAAATGACCTCCGAAGTTGAGGCTGTGACAATGAACGCGCCCGCTGCCGTGGTACCGCTGGGTCGGTAGCTTTCTCTGTCCATCCTGAAACTCGAGTCGAAAGAAAAAGTTCACGGCGGGCTGTTGAGTCGCAGCCGCCGTCACATCGGCCAAGATGTGGTCGGACCAGCCCGGGTGCTTGCGCTCCTCCGCCGCGTCGGTCTTGACAGGGGCATTGTGGCCGGTGTACAACCCC